GTTTAAAAAAAAGCCATGTGTAGCTGTAGAAAACAATTCAGCAAGGTTGTTGTTTGGGCAAGCCATAAGGTGTCACCATTAGAGACTTAACAACGAGACCTACCATTAATCAATCTCAGTGCACATCATGATCATGTCACTTCTAAATTTCATGAAATGCTGAAAAGTATTTCTCATCTCTGTTTTACAAAAGAAACTAAGACTGAGAGATGTTTTGCAGCCTGTCCCTGGTAACATATCTAGTAGCTTAGCTCATGTTTGTCTGACCTAAAAGCCACCCTTTGTCTACTTTACCTCTCAGTGCTCCCTTTCGATCTGTATTTTGTTGATTTTCATCAAGATTACCCTAAATAACTGAGGGAACAGGAATCGTGAAGACAGAAAAAGACCAAGTACTGTGAATTCTTAAAATGTAGATTTCATGCATTGCAACATTGTATTTGCGGTAGATTTAATTTTAAATTTCCGCTTTTTCGATTCATTTTCATAGCTAACATAATTTGTGCAGGGTGTGCGTGTGTGTGTGTTTGTGGGTAGGGGGGATCAACAAGTATAACAGCAGTTAAGAGCCTGGGCTCTGAAGCCAGATGGCTGGATCTTGATGCTCAGTTTAGCCATTTAGTACTTTCATGTCCCTAAATAAATTACTTAAGCTATCTAGGGCTGGAAGAAGTTTGATTTTAACTTTCTTCTTCTTGCTTATCAGTATTTTAAAAAACTTTGACAGTGAATTTCTGCAGTGAGAAAAGCACAAAGACTATTTAAAAGAAAAGTTACATATAATTAACTTATAATTTGGCTATAAATAGCTGTTGGTAAAATGTATCCACTTACGCATTTATGGAGTGCCCACTGTGTATTAATTAGGTACTCCGACAGGTCCTAGGGATACAAAATGAATAACACACACAGATGTGCAAGCCACTATCACAGTCTACTGGGGGAAATGAACATGAAAAATTATTTTGACAAAATTTCACCTACCTCATGGAGCTGTCACTGTATCAAAAATTAGCAAGAAAAACACTTGGCATACTATTGGGCACATAATAAGTGCTCAATAATGTTAGGTAGTTGTTAATTAGTAAGTTGTTTGCAAGATGAGTGATGTGAGGCTACTGAAATCACAAAGAAAAGAGGGAATAGCTACCTGGAGAATAAGAGAGGGCACTAAAGACAGGTCACTGAGGAGGAAACATTTAAGCTCAACTTAACAAGATGAGGGATTGTCCTAATTAAGGAAGAGGGAAAAGCATTCCAGACGAAGGGAATAGTATGTGCAAAGTCACTGAGATATGACAGAGTTCAGGAGGTCTAGGGGAGTCCTAGGTAGCTCAGCATGGTTGCTGTGTTACGGGGCATTGGGAGATGAAACAAGAAAGAAAAAATAGCTAATAATAAAAATAATAGTGCCTCCTGTGTAAAAAGCACTACTCTAAGTGTCTTACATATATAAATTCATTTAATCCTCACAACAAAGGGTGAGGTAGTGCTGTGATTTCCCCTATTTTACAGATGAGGAAACTGAGGCACGGAGAAGGCAGGGATGTGCTCAAGGTCACACTGCTAGTTAGTGGTGAACTAGGATACAAATTGGGGCAGTCTTGTTGTAGGACTGGGTTACCCTTCACAATGAGTAGACAAGAGGGAAATCATAAGTGCCCTATCATAACAAAGATGAGTTAGATGTTATTCCAGAAAGCTCAATAAATCAAACATGTACAGTCCTTCTCGGTGTCCTCGGGGGATTGGTTCTAGAACCCCCAAGGATACCAAAACCTATGGATGTTCAAGTCCCCTATATAAAATAATGTAGCGTTTGCATGTAACCAACATACATCTTTACATATACTTTGAATCATCTCTGCATTACTTATAATACCTAATACAGTGTAAATGCTATGTAAATAGTTGTATTTTTTACAGAATAATGACAAGGAAAAAAGTCTACGTGTTCATTATGGATGCAATATTTTTTTGAATATTTTCAATCTGCAGTTGGTGGACTCTGTGGATGCAGAGCCCACAGATACAAAGGGCCAACTGTAATTGTGTGACCCAAGGCTAAATGTCAATAATAATAGTCAATAATAATGGTGCTCATTTATCCCAGGTTTGAGAGAGGATTCAATGATTTAAATAATTTAAACATAAAGTGTTTAGAAGGGTGCCTGGCTCATGGCAAGTACTACATCAGTGTCTGCCACCATTATTACTACTATCTGATACGAAATCCACACCATCATGCATTTCCTCAGAGTAGTGCAGAGGTCTATTTCAGACTGGCCCAACTTAACGAATCATAAATCAGTAGAATCATTCTCTGTTGACTGGCCTTGAATATACTCTTCCAGATCTCACTTAGGGTGCAGATCAGAATGCATTTAGAGGCTTATGACTTTTATTCTGTACGAATTAGAGAAAGAATAGCCCAGGGACACTGAATTTGCCTCTGGGCAACTGTTAGAACCCTCAAGGGGAGAGACGGGTGCTCCCTGGGACCACGTCTTACCCATCAAAAGTGAATGCTTCTTTCCTTGTCAGGCGAATTTACTCTGCATGGAAGAGCTATTCGTAGCACTATCAGCTGCACAGCATCAGGGGTGATGGGAGTCCAGGGCTGCCGGCCAGAAAGACTGCACTGAAGCCAGGAGACCACGGTGGGCAGCTTCTCCCTGGGCCAAATGCTTTCAAAAGGCTCAAGCATGAAGAGCAGGCCGTGACTTAAACCTAAAAGAAAATGGTCACGGCCAAGGATTCCCAGAGGCAGCACTTCCCGAAGTCACTTCTCAGTACACATCAAGAGGACGCTAACTTGCTCATGTTACTTCTGGGACAAAGATGTAAAGATTGTTTTGGTAACACCCAAAGAATTCTCGAGAACATTTCATTCTCAATGGGACTTGGCTCAACAGAGAAGTGAAAGAGAGAAAAGGGGAGGGAATTCAAGTCCATGCTGCTTGTCTGTTGACTCCCGGAAAGCAGAAACACAAGTCACCTCAGACCCCAGGGGCTGACACCCAGAAAGCACTCCATAAATACCTGCTGAAGACATTAAAGAACAATCAATAACAACAGCGAAACTCATCAGATGCACAAGGGCTAGTGAAGTGGCA